ATGGCAGATGGAGTTCAATCCAGGTAAATGCGAGGTGATGCATTTTGGAAGATCCAATTCAAGAGCGAACTGTGCGGTAAATGGAAAAGCCCTGGGGAAAATTGATGCACAGAGAGAGCTGGGTGTTCAGGTCCATTGTACCCTGAAGGTGGTAACGCAGGTGGATAGAGTAGTCAAGAAGGCATACGGCATGCTTTCATTCATCGGACGGGGCATTGAGTACAAGAGTTGGCAGGTCACGTTACAGTTGTATAGGTCTTTGGTTCGACCACATTTGGAATACTGCATACAATTCTGGTCGCCACATTACCAAAAGAATGTGGATGCTTTGGAGAGGGTGCAGAGGAGGTTCACCAGACTGTTGCCTGGTATGAAGGGTGCTAGCTATGAAGAGAGGTTGAGTAGATTAGGATTATTTGCATTAGAAAGACAGAGGTTGAGGGGGGACCTGATTGAGGTCTACAAAATCATGAGAGGTATAGACAGGGTGGATAGCAAGAAGCTTTTTCCCAGAGTGGGGGACTCAAGTACTAGGGGTCACGATTTCAAGGTGAGAGGGGAAACGTTTAAGGGAGATATGCATGGAAAGTTCTTTAAGTAGAGGGTGGTGGGTGTGCCAGCAGAGGTGGTAGAAGCGGGCACGATAGCGTCATTTAAGATGTATCTAGACAGATACATGAATGGGGAGGGAGCAGAGGGATACAGATCCTTGGAACATAGGCAACAGATTTAGATAGAGGATCTGGATCGGTGCAGGCTTGAAGGGCCGAAGGGCCTGTTCCTCTGCTATAATTTTCTTTGTTCTTTGTTCTTTGTTCTCATTGTTAGTTTGTTCCGCGTACATATATTTCAAAAATAGGCATTGCTTGGTGTATTTTACGTTTGCCACTTTTTGTACTTTAATATGAATCATAGTAAAATACCGAACATGTAAGGAGATATTAGGAAGGCAGAGATATTAGGAACACATATTAGGAAGACAAAAAAGAAATGTTTTAATCAGAGTCTTAAAGGAGGAAAAGGAAGTAGAGTGACAGAGAGGTGTATGCTGGGAAATCCAGTAGTTGAGGTCTAGGCAACTGAATACACTCCCACCAACTGTGGTACCATTACGATTGGGGGTGCATGAGAGGCCAGAATTGGAAGAGCACCGATCTCACAGGGAATAGTGAAGTTGGAGGAGACTACAAAGATAGGGAGGGTCAAGGCCATTGAGGGATTTGAAAACAAGAATTGGCTTTTTAAAATCCAGATGTTGTTTGACTGAGACATATTGTAGGCCAGCAAGCACAGGCCTACAAGGGTCAATGGGACTTGTGAGTT